GTGAATGACCTGAGAGAGGGTTTCAGGAGAGAAGAGGACAGGTGAGCTGGAGACTTAAGGCAGGTGTACAGTGGAGGCAAGACTGAGTCAAGTGTAAGAGGCACACAGTGACCTGCCTGCCCCTTAAGCCTAGCAGGGGTTCCTGGTCCTAAGGGGGCCTGGTCACATCAGGAATCAGCCCCAAAAACCTAGGCTTTCTCCCAGCCATTCTCCCATTCAGTCCCACAGCCTTCTCAGGTTGCTGCCAGGCCTGACCACCTTGGTTTAGGCCCAGGAAGTATGCTCGTGCAGGCCGATGGTAGTGAGGGCAGATGGGCAGTCTCTGGGGCCTGATGAGGGAAGGAGGGGACAGTGACAAAGGATGTGGCAGGTATTATATATCAGGGTACCAGGGAGGAAGTAGGCAGGTCTTAGCTAGCATGGTGCATGGTCCATGTGTGACTGCCTGTTCTGTCTGTCCATCCATGGCACAGGATAGCAATTGTCCATGATCAGTTAACCAGGAAATCAGAAAAGTACCTCCCATTTGTATATCTTCAAAAGTCACAAAAGTATCAAGGTAGGCCTAGGAAGGACACACATTTGAATACCTAAAAACAGCAACAAAAATGTGGTAGTATGTGCCTAAGAGAGGTCTGAGTTAAATACTCTGTTTAATTCTCAAATTTAATTTCTTTTTCTTACTATTATTAAGGTTTTTCTCCTACGCTAACAGTGGAGAAGCCAAAAAAACCAACATGGACTCACACTTAGAACATTATGCCATATCATTTTTGGATGAAACTAACAACCATTTATAGTCACATTTTCCAGAGTGTGGTTTGAGATCTGATGTGTCAGCATCACGGGGTGTGGTAATGTGGTTTATAAAAATGTGAATTCCTGAGCCCCACCCAGCTCTATTCTCTACTCTCTGGGGCTGAGGTCCAGGAAACCCCATTTTAGGCAGGAGCTCTCCCACTTGAGCCATGTCCCCAACTCTAGGAGGTCTCATGTTAACAGAGACCCAGATAATTCTTATCACACTGAAGTTTAAGCACCATCAGAGGTTCAGGCTCTAGGAGCAGGGAAGGCTATTCCAGCACAAAGCCTTTATGTCTCATTGTTATTGACTTTAAGTAATATACAGGGAACATTTAATATTAGCTAAGTGAGACAGTGGCTTACACTGAAAATAAGAAAAGTCGTTCAAAATGACATTGTGTGCTAGACTGAATGCAACAGACTAAAGCCAAGTGACTTTGAGGAAAGACTGGCCTGTGTAGGCATGGCAAGAAAACTCACAATGAGTCATAATACAAACATTGATGATGGTGCCTTTCATTCTAAAGCCTTTCCTAGTCCCAGCCAAAATCCAGAAAAGAAGAGAAAACCATGGAGGGAGGGCCATTTGTTTTTTGTCCTCCACCCCAGGCACCAAGGCACCTCTCAGAGCAGTTCTCTGTGCTTTGTCTAGTATCCTTAGCCTTGGAGGAAGGGAAGTTCCAGAGTGCAAGAAAGAGAAAGGGGCATAGATGAGAAGGTGAGGGAAGGAAGCATGAATAAGCAAGGAAAGACCTCAGGAAGTTATAACTTCTCCAAGGGAGAAGATGCTGGATAAAATGAAAGAAGGCATAGGAATGAAGAAGAAAATGAAAGAAGCAACCATAGTACAGAAAGTAGGACTTAGCATGTGGGTTGTAGAGACAAAGAGCCAGAGTCAATCCACCAAGATGGCAAAAGATGTGCCATAGTATATGCAAAAAAGCAACAGTACTTCAAAATTTGTAACAGAACTGACAGGGAAAATAGATAAATCCCTAACATTGGGAAGCAAAATAAAGACCAGAGAACAAGGCACTCTTATTCAAAATAGTGCTGGAAGTTCTCCTAAGTACAGTAAGGAAAGATAAAGAAATAAAAAGGCTTGCAAATTGGAAAGGAAGAAATTATTTGCAGATGTCTTGATGGTCTACAAAGAAAATTCCAAGGAATCACAAAAATAAAACAAAATCTTAGAAAACAACTGAGTGAGTTTAGAAAGCTTGCTAGAGACAGTTAAGCATAAAAATAAAATTTCATGTCAATATACTAGCAATGAATGTGAGGACACTAAAATTAAAAAAATACATAATATGACTTATGATCACCAAAATAGCTTAAATTCTTAGATTTAAATCAGACTAGATTGGACGTGTTTAGGGTAGTTTAGTTGTAGACAAATATTTAGATATAAATCTAACAAAACTTATAATGCTGAAAACCAGGCAATACTGCTGAAAGAAATCAAAATAATGTAAATCATTATTTTTCCCCATCGTCTCTCCTCCTCAGCCCTTCTACACCCCACTTAAAGCAACTGCAAGAGGTTATTTAGTTCTGTTTCACGTAAGTACTTGAAGTCCATCATCCATACAGCTTTGTCTTCATCTCCTTCCTTCACCCTCCCACATCCACTTACTTGAAGAAGTTTAAATAAATGGAGAGACGTGATCGTTATGAATTAAAAAACTCAACATAGCAAATGTACCATTCTCCTCAAGTTGATATACAGAGTTAATGCCATTCCAACCAAAATCCTGGGAAGATTGTTTTGTAGACATGTATAAGATTATCCTGAAACTTATATGGGAAAAGCAAAAGAATTTAGAAAAAGAATGAAGTGGAAAGAGGAAGTCTACCTGTTTTCAAGACTTACTGTATACCCACTGTAATCCAAACTATATAATATTGGCAGAGGGACAGACACATGGATCAATGGAACAGACTAGAGAAACCAGAAATAGATCCACACAAATGTGCCAACTGATTTTTGAACAAGGTGCAAAAACGGTTCCACGGATGAAAGATGGCCTTCAACAAATGGTGCTAGAGCAACTGGACATCAACTGGCACACACAAAGAACAAAGAGCCCAACTGTCATAAAATTTAACCACAGTAGGCTACAGATTTAAATGTAAGCAGGAGAAAATTTCAGGAGGGGCTAGGCCAAAAGTACCTGGGTTTACCATTCAAAATCCAACCTATAAATGGAAAAAATGACAAATAGGACATCATTAAAATTAAAAACATTTGTTCTGTGAAGGATTCAGGTTAAGAAGATGAAAAGACAAGCAAGCTACAGAGTGAGGGAAAATATTTGTAAACCACATATCCCCCCCAAAAAAGCTAATATTAAAGAACTCTAAAAACTCAACAATCTAAAGCCAACCCAATTAAAAAATGGGTAGAAGACATGAATAGCCATTTCATAGAAGAGCACATACTTATGACAAAAGTACATAGAAAAAATCCTAAATCAATATGAAAGCGAAACAGTCACAACCCCAATGAGGTATCACTACATTCCTATCAGAATAACTAAAATAAAAAACAGTAACAACACCAGATGTGTCAAGGACATGGAGAAACTTGATCACTCACACTTTGCTCATGAGAATAGAAAATACTATAGTTGGTCTGAAAAACAGCTTGGTAGTTTCATTAAAAACCAAACAGTTCAATGGATGAAACTACTGCCTAACCCAGAAATTACACACTTAGGCATTTGTTCCAGAGAAATTAAGACTAATACTCAACTCAAAAACCTACACCCAAATATTTATAGCAGATCCACTCATAAAAGCCAAAAACCAGAAACAACTCAGATGTTTTTCATGAGAGGAATATTAAATAAACTGTGGTACAGCTACACCATGGAATTTTATTTACCAGTAAAAAGGAACAACATGTTGATACATACAACAACCTGAACGAATTTTGGGATAGTCATGTCTAGTGAATAGTGCTGATCCTGAAAGGCTACATACTATATGACTCCACTTGTATAACACTCTCAAAATGTCAAAATTATAGAAATGGGGGCCAGGTGAACCAGTGGCTTCCATGGGGTAAAGAGAAGATGGAGCAAGAACCAGTGGAGATGCCCATAAAAGACAACAGAGGGACCCTTGTTGTGATGGAAATGGTATTCATGTGAATATCCAGTTTGCAGTATTGTACCTCAATTTTACAAGATCTTACTATTGGGAAAAACTGGACAAAATATGTAAGGAATCTCTCCGTGTTATTTCTTACAACTGCATGTTAGTGATTTTTTAAGTTAACCTTTTAAGAAGTTGTATTAGGGCTGGGGATGTAGCTCAGTGATAGAGCACTTGCCTAGTATGTGTGAGGTTCCAGGTTCAATTCCCATCCCTGCCAAAAAGAAAGGAGTATTTGTGTTTTATGATATGTCTTTTGAATTCTCTTCTCCCCCAAATTCAATTCTGGAAACTTCACACTATTTCTATTTCAGGCCCTCTTTTGGCCAGATGGCAAGAATTAGTCAGCAGTCATTTGAGTTTCCATACTTAACATCTCTATGTTTAGGAAACTTAGCACCATCCCAGTCGTGTGTGGCTGGCATCTCTGTGCTGATGTCTACCTAGAGTAGTTTTCTACCATCGTTACATCTAGGACACTGCTGCATCCTCCTTGCCCAGTTACTCTCTGGTTCTTCCTCTCCATGAGCTGCAGGAAACCTTCAGAGGCCAATGAGGACTCCACAAGCCCAGAGACAGGGTGACGTCAGGACCATGCTTGGATCCTGGGACACATGCCTCCTTTATTCAGGTTCCTCTTGTGTCCTCACCAAGATTCATTTGGCAGCTGGAGAGGGCTCAGGGACACACTGTCAGGTATCCATGGGTGTTCTACACTTCTTCCTTTTGGATTCTCTTCCCTCCCAAGTTTTATCTGCCCTGAGAGCACAATAGGGCATTCGACAGTGGATGTGTTCTTCCAAATCTTTCATCTTTGACCGAGTCCTCAGTTTTTCTGTCCTTGGTTCTAAGCATTCTGCTGACTCATCCTTTTCTGAAGGGGTAAGCATAGAACCCCTGGGCTGCTGCTTGAATGGGTCACAGCATAGCAGGAAATAGGAGGGAAAGCCTCCTCCAACACATGCAAGAATTATCCTGTGATATCTTCTACCATCTTTCTGCCCTTAACCCTCTTATATTCCTATTTGTCTCTTCAGCTTGTGGCCCAGGTCCTGGAACATAAAGATATAGGCTTTGTGATGGTGGATGCCAAGAAAGAAGCCAAGCTTGCCAAGAAACTGGGTAAGTGTGAGTTTTAAGATATAGTAGGAAGAAACAGATATGTCTCATAAAAAAAAGTACTATTCTTGTATGATAACTGGACTATTTTTAAACAAATATAAAATGATCCTGCTTACCTTAGTCTTGGGTTGAGGAAGTTTCCTAAAAGTAAATCTAAGCCTGAATTGAATGCTTCAAAAGAACCATCTAGTATATCTTTGCATCAGTACCATAAAGAGGGGTTTTTCCTGGAAAAACCAATGCTAGAGACTCAAACCTTTATTTCCAGCTGCTAAAACAGGCCGACAGGCCAGCTATCTCAGTACCATGGGATCTCTCTGGGACAATCACAGTCCTTTCTCCTATTGCCTGCTATGTCCTGACCTTTTAGTCTAAGCAGCCACGAAAGGTGGCATTAATGGCAGTGGCTGTAGGGTCCCAGGGATTTCTAAATTTAAGGCTAAACCCCAGCTGGACATTATCACCAAAGATGAAAGGAAGGATTTAGGAAAGGCACGGTCAAGTGACTACACAATGGAAGTTGTAATTTCTCACGTCAATATGTCACACTCAAGTGCAAATGCCCTTGAAGATTCTTATTTCATAATCCCAAGTAGAGAAGATATAGGTGACTTCTCTGGTTTCCAAACACCCACACATATACTGCCCATTTGGCTTTTTTTGCATGACCAGTGAAGAATGGCTGTTAAAAAACTAGCAGGCAGTTATAAACCAGGACCTTTGAAGATCGGTTTATTGGATTTGAGTAATAAGCACAGACAAAAAAAAAACTTAGTGGAGGGTCAATAAGTACCAGCAGGTACATGAAAGTTCATTATCCTAGGAAATTACAAACAACTGTTTTCTATTTTATTTTCTGGAAGGCCAGTCTTAAAAACAGAAAGACAAATTATAGAGGACTACTTAAGTTAGACACAAGGAAGAACTCATGCCTATGAAATGACTTATTAAGAATGTCTGGGATCTCTCTTCCCCTGGAGACTTATTAAGAAATATCTTTTCCTCCATAAGCATGGGAACAAAATACATTAAACTCTCTCTAGGGTCAAAAATAATTTAATAAGCTCTACCTCCTCCCCCTGCGGCCTGTTGATTCCCAGTCTTCCTCCTTCCCACTGTTTTTAATAACTTGAATTTGGGAGACTTTTTGGTAAACTTAATTAGAAGAAAATGCTAGTGTTCTTGCAGTAGTCAAATATATAGGAAGGATGAGCTGGACAAGAACTCATAATTCTAGACTGGAGATGGAGCTTGGTATGCCAAATAAACTTCTCCAAGTTCACCTAGGAGGAATTGAGGTGGGTTCCTTCTTCTAGCTGTTCAATTCTTGGGGTTTACAGGATGTGGCTGTATTTTGTAAAGCCACCCCTTCACCCTTGGCCCTCTCCCATTTGCCTTAGTTTGGCCTCTATTAGGCTGTGTCTGATAGAGGGAACTCAAGACAAAACCCAACAGCAGGACACTTGACATTGCCTGTGGTATCTTTCAAGATCAGTCATCACCAGCTTCAAGAATATCTCGTATGCTGCCCCTTTTAATCTGTGAACACATTCCTTGGTGTGCCAGGGACTCCTTGGATAGACTTTGGGACAGGCAGCAGTCCAGCCTTCCTGAGCCTGAGGGTTCTACAGATTCATTGGGATAAAGCTTCTCCAGTTAGTAGAGTTTGCAAACAATTAATCTGAGGAATTAAGGGAGCCATGCTGTTGGAATAAATATCAGCCTCAGCTATTAGCATTCCTGGGGGGGGCATGCAGTTTTCCAGCAAGCATTTGTTAAAGGACGTAGCTCTGGGAGTAGCAAAGGAGATATAGAGCCTGCCCTTGCAACATGAAGCAGTGAACTAGGTAAAGAAGATGTGTGGGATTCAGCTAGGACAGGTATAGAAGCAGTCAGTCTGGCCACATATTTTTTACACATCTGAGGTGTCAATTGATGTGTGCAGGTGCTGTGCGAGGCACTGGCACACCAAGAAGACAATGACCATACTCTCAGAGAATGTTCTATTAGAGACAGTACCTGCAAGTGGAGCTGAAGGGAAATCAATAAGGGCAGGAGCCTGGGGAGATTGCAGTGACCTTCTTAGAAAAAGTGAGTCCAAGCTAGGACCTGAACGAGCCAACCAAAATGGAGTTGGTGGCGGGGAGGCCATTTCAGGTTTGGGGAGCAAGAGAACATAAATACAATGCTTCATGTTCTGGGGTGCTCCCTTTACACAGCCTTTCATATCAGCCTGTGGGCAAGAAGCAAAGGGAGTGGTACAGAGGAGCCACTCTCACAAAGGGTGAGTGGAAGAGAGTTGAAGGATGTGAATGTCAGACTAAGTTGTCATTACATTTTTTTGATAAGGAGAATGGCATGGGTTTGGCAATAGTTTTGAAAAACTAGAGCCATGGTGGGGTAGAGAATAGATTTTTCTTTTAAGTTAAAATCTAAGTGGAATTGTTAGTTCTTGGCTCTTTCAAATTAGGTGCCACTTTGAGAGCTGTCCAAAAGTGTTGTTTTGAGGGGAACTAGTTCACCAATCCTGACCCTATTGTCACTTCAGGCCAAGGTGAAGTCTCTTTGTGCATCAGAATGACTTACCCGTGTGTCTCTTTTTATTTCCAGGTTTTGATGAAGAAGGGAGCCTATATATTTTGAAGGGTGATCGCACAATTGAGTTCGATGGCGAATTTGCAGCTGATGTCTTGGTGGAGTTTCTCTTGGATGTAAGCATTTGTGCCCAGTGGCCCTGCATGGAGCTGTCTGGGCTCTAATATAGGGGGAAGTAAAACCCTGAAGTAAGACCAGAGAAGCTGGAGATCCTGATGTGAACTAAGACAGGTTTCTCAGGCCTCACAAAACATGGAGAAGCTATTTACTTCACTAGGACATAGCCCTGAAGTCGCCCTAGTAACTGTTTATTAGTGACCTGAGCGTCACAGATGGGACCATTACAATGATATGCTAATCATCAATGATGTCCATTGAAATTCCCTCACCTTTGCCACAATGGTGCTGTGCCGAGGAGACGCTGGGGAGTATGTGGAAGGAGGTGGTGTACCAGTCACCTGCAGAGACAGGAGGAACCAATTGGCCTGGTCACCCTCAGCTATCTTCAGAGCAGCAGAAAGGAGAGGCAGAGCTAAAGAGCTCCTTCATATCACACTCACTTTTAGTCAGGGAGGTACCACACCCTCAGATCCATATGCTGGAAGACAGGGGAAAGCACTACAAAAATATTTGAGTCATAGATGAGCTCACACTTTCACTAATAGCTATGAAGCTCAATGCTTTGGAACTTACGTTCTGCACAGAGAAGCTAATGTTGAATGTCCATATTGCTCAGTTTTCGTGTACCTGCTGGGATCCAGTGGTCTATCGTTTTCTCTATATAGCCTCAAAAACCAGAGAGAGGGTCAGAAGTGGGTTGTAGGCCAAATCCTACAAAAAAAAAAAAAAACCACCCACTATTCATAATCTCTCCTTGGCCATCTAATTGACCCACACCTGCAAGTTCTAAAAAATGTTCAGAGAAGCAACATCACGACCCTAAGTCAACATGGCACTGTCCCAATGTTACCAGCTAAGAAGAGACTTTCCGAAACAAGACTCTACCTGCTCTAAACAATCAATGATGGGATTCACCCACTAAGTAGAGTTAGGGCAGAGTTTAGGCTTGATCAAGTCAGGGCGCTAGCTCTGTAAATCACAGACAATTCTGTTTTCAGTGCGTGACCTTTCGTCATCTGTTCTCAGGTTAGTTATAAGGTGGGCAGCAGCTGGAGTGGATAGACCACATGTCCTTATTCATCTTCAATGGGAGCAAATAGCAAGAACACCAATGAATCTGGTTTCCCATTGTTTTCTTAAGAATAAAGAACTTTCCAGACCCTTCAGCAAATCTATCCTCATTGGGCCAAAACTGGGTCACTGCCCATTCCTGAATTAGTAAGTGGCAAGAGAAGTTGTGGAATCATCCCAAATGACCATCAATGGGTGAATAGATAAAATGTAGTACATATACACAAGAAAACACTATCTAGCTTAAAAAAGAAAGAAATTTTATTATCTGTGACAATATGGATAGAATTGGAGAGCATTATGCTAAGTGCAATAAGTGAGGAGCACAAAGACAAATTTTGCATGTGTGTTTCTTAGGTTTTTTTTGTCTCTGTGACCAAATATCTGAGGGAAACAATTTAAAAGGAGGAAAGATTTTGGTTTTTGCCTCATAGATTCTGAGGTTGCAGCCCAAGGTCAGCTGGATCCCTTCCTTTGCGCCTGAGGCAACACAGAGCTTCGTGGCAGCAAGAACTTATGGCAGACGCTGCCGACCTCATGGTGGCCAGGAAGGAGAGAGAGAGGAAGAGGAAGGGTCTGCTTACCAGACACACACTTCAAAGTCTCTCCCCCAGAGAGCTATTTCCCTCAACCAGGGCTACCTCCTAAGTATTCATCACCTCCAAATAACACCGTCAAATTGTGAACCCATCAGTGGATTAGTCCTTTGCTCAGGTCAGAGCCTCCATGATCCAATCACCTGTCAGTCATTCGATCCACCTGCTTTGAACACATGGGCCTTTGGGGAATACTTTATAGCGCCAAACCATAACGTGTTTTTCTTATGTGTGGGATTTAAAACAATTGAACTCAACAAGAAACAGACAGTAGAATGGTGGCTACCAGAGCCTGGGTTGGAGGAGGGGAATGTGAAGCGAATACTCAAATGAGGCCTAGCCTCAATCCGACAGAAGGAATATATGTTTTCCTTTGAAATACATTGCACAGCATAGTGAATACAGTAAATAATAAATTATACACTTCAAGATTGCTAAGAGAGGAAATTGCTCATCAGCAAAAATGATAAACATTTGAGGTAATGGATATATTAGTTAACTGGATTTAATTATTCTGCAATGTATTCATAATTTATAACAGCACTTTATGTCCCATAAATTTATGCCGTTGTAATTTACAATTTAAGATAAAAATTCAAAAACACTGGCAAGAGAAACAAAATATCCCCCAGACCACTGATCCCAGATTCCTCTAAAAGTACTGCTGCTCCGTTCACTGGAGCAGGGTGGGATGGGTGGTTGAAACCTAACCACAAAGTCCACCGCAATCTCCCGCCACACACTCTATCTCCCCACTATGGAAGTTGGAGCTCTCATTTCGATGTATTTGTGTCCCTCTGTGTGTGTGTGTGTGTGTGCATTTCAGCTAATGGAAGACCCAGTGGAGATCATCAACAACAAGCTGGAAGTTCAAGCCTTTGAGCATGTTGAGGACAAGATCAAACTCCTTGGATTTTTCAAGAGCGAGGACTCAGAATGTAAGTTGTCTGGCACTCCCTGTCTGTCAGTGCAAGGGCTGGATTTCCAGCAAGGGGTGTTAGATTAGCTCCACATATGCAGGTTCTTCAGCCTCTCTTCTGCTGGGGGAGCATAGAGGTCAGAATCCTTCCTGCTCCCTGTGTGGTGGGACATGTGCAGAAATAATGCAAAACAGGGAGTGGAGCTGAATGAACATGAAAGCCATGTTCTATGGCCTTGGAGTGGTATGGGTGTGTGTGTGTTTTCTACAGGCAAGAGAAAAGCCTTCCTCAGCTTTCAACCTGCCTACTTTCTGGTCAGATTCACCCTAAAATAGGACACACAGTGGGCTGACTGGAGAGCCACTCAGTCAACTGGTAAGCATGAGAGGAGAATTTGGGTGCAGATGGGCTTGGTTGCTACAGACTGTGGAAAATTGCTGGCCAAGCCCTCAGCTGACCACCAGGCTGCTTGCCACGGTGCCACCACACCCTTTGGGTGTCTCCCTTGGAAGGTTTTGTGTCCAGGTTGTGGGTGGACATGGGACCTGTCATAGCATCACTGCAGGCAAGACAGAGTGGGAGCAGGAGTCAGGAAGAGCTGAGAGAAGAGACCAGGACAGAAACTACTCGAATACTTTCTTAGAACTTGTTTTAACAGCGTAAGCCCAAGGAGTTAAGCCTTTTTCTGGAGTCTCAGCCTCCAAGAGAGGGAAGTGGGGAGGCTAATAACTATGAGAGTACAAGTAGATGCAAATACAGCCGGCTTGTGACTAGTTTTCTGGAAATCTCAAAATGGTTTGACATTCTTTTCAAAACTGTTTCTTTACCTGATTTTGCCATTAGCATCCCTAGTCACCTCATCAGTAGCAACCTACCCATTAAGGTCTCTCTTCCATGCCTCAACTTACCTGTCTGTTCATTCAAACCTCTATTCACAATATGGGTGCATTAGGGAAGGCGTTAGCCAGGGAGTTTTGCCCCTGTTCTGTTGGTGTTGAGCACTCTTGGAGCTTCTCTTGTCCCCTTCCCATCTACTTTCTTCTCTTCTTCTAATTTCCCTCCATTTCCCCTTTTCCTGTTCATTCCTTCCTCCTCAATTTGTTTCCATCCTTATGTTTCTCTCTTCTTCCTTTAACCTCAGTGCAGCAGAAAAGGAAGGAGACAGGGCCAAGAGCAGCATAAAGCATACCTTCTAGAACCTTCCGTTCCCCACCCTGTATTAATAATCATAAGAGTTCCATTTAATTAACACATATTTTAGCCCAGAACCTGTGCTAGGAGCTTCATACGAAACACCGCGCCCTCACAGGCCTGTAGGTACTGTAGTTACCATTGGCATTTGCATGTTAATGATGGTGAGAGGCTGGAAACATAAAGGTTTGGTTAACTTGCCCAGTATCACACTGCGGGTGAATGGTGAACCACAGTCTCAACTCCAGGAATCTGACTGTAGAGTTCACATGCATAGCTCCTGAGCTACGCTCTCAAGGCTTTACAAACTTTGTCAGGTCATGGCATAAATAAAATGTGATGAGGACTGGTAGAGTGGCTCAAGTGGTAGGGCGCCTGCCTAGCAACACAAGGTCCTGAGTTCAAACTTCAGTACCACTGGAAAAAAAATATGGCAATGCTTGTAGACATAAAATGAAGGCAATCTGGAAGAGTTTTGGGCTTAGTGAAAAAAGTTACTTTCTTTATGTTGTATAATAATAACACAATACAAAAACAGGAAACATGTCACTTATCATACTATTAAAACATTTCCAAATTAAATCTTTTTAGACTTTGAATGAGAATCTTGAGCTTGCTTCCAAAAACTCAGCTGTGTGATATTAGGTGTGATCTTGAAATAGCAGCATGTAATTCCAGATCGTGGTGTTCAGTGATGAGTTTGTCAAATTCTTAACAGTTGGTCAGCATTGATGAGAGACTTTCTTGTGCATATGTATGGTGGCAAATGGATGGACCACATTCATTGCTTGTCTTTTACTGATAAACATTCTTTTCTTGCATTAGCATAGAATTGGGTGTACTTTGGATAATTCAGTCTCTATACTGTCCTTCATGGACTTAAGCATCCTTATAATTTGACAGCTATGACATTTCTTTTTGTTGACAATTGAGACGTTCATGTTTCTTATGATAGTCTGGTGGAATTGCAGATCCAGCTAAATGTTTTCATATCTTATCATGTATCTCAAAATAACAAAGAAGCTTTTCCTTAGGAATGCATTGGTATTAGATTATTAAAATCTAAATAATAAAATTATTAGTGAGACATTTTAACTTGCTTTTTGAGGCTGAATTTTTGTTTTTAAATTGATAAACATCAGCACATTCTATATTTCACATGGTCCTTGCAATTTTTAATTAAGTTAATTCAGAAGCTCAGCAAGATCCAGCATTTTTTGAAGCCAGTGATTAATCTTCAAAATTTTTTCAGAGTATAATTCACAATTTTGTTTCTAATTAAATTCTTAGCTGATAATCTCTTATAAGACTCTCCTTGATAGTTAATCTTCATTAGTGTGGAATGCTAGAGAAAGAGCTTCTGAACCCAATGTTAAAAGAGAAGAAGGTACGGAGGTTTAGATTCCATTAGAGTCACCTTCTTCATGACAACCTTCTGTGTGGAATTCAGATCCACAGGCACACTTTATATGACAGAATTTTTTTTGTGACTAAATATCACATCTCAAGCGTTTCAGAAAGAATTCCATGTACATTCTTTTATACCTTATCATTTCAGTCACACCACACATCATTAGTACACAAACTGGGAAGTGTTTCTAAAATCTGTTGCCATGTGTTCATCTACTTCATTAAATATTTCATCCCGCACAACTTGGTTTGATCTTTGTAAGACAGATGATGTTATTTCAAGTTTTTCTCTTCAGGGTCAACCACACCCAGCTATTAAAGACTGGTAGAGCAATATTCAGTATGCAAAACTCTGAGAGATGGGGAACGGGGTGAGGAAATGTTAATAAAAGTCTTTGGTAAACTGGAGACAGGGGCTGAATGTCAGGATTACATGACACCAGACAGAGCAGATGACAAGACCAGCCATCTCAAAAGACAGCTGTTGTGTGGGGGTGAGACAAAAGTAACCACATTTGGAATCATCAACTTGTGGAGTCACCTTGCTCCATCCTTCATCTTAAAAGGTGTGTAGAACAGGCCTCCATGAGAAGAAGGAAGCTCCAGACACAGTCCAGACCATTCCTTCCACTGAGTGAAGAGTGCTTGGAGGTGTCCAGAGATTCTTCAAGAATACTGGGGACAGGGGGACAGGGTTTCGATGTGCCTGCCCCTGCTTGGGTATTGTTCTTACCATTGTACTTCCTCACCTTCTCTCTGCTCATTCTTCATATGCACTCATTTTCTCAGTGGATTTCTATCCAGTCTACCCCCCATCAAGCTGCCTGATAGTTTGATGAGCATATAGCATCAGCAGATGGTACCAGTGTCCTTGTGAATTTCAACCCCTCTCTCAAATGCTCATTGCTGTCTCTCTATTGGAGCAACTTCATGTGGTTCTTTGAAGTGGCTCTTGAGATCAGTATCTCTGTCTTACTCATCTTGGCATCTATCTCCTTGAGCCAGCGTTACTCTAAAATAATTTTTGGTAGAATCTTATAAAATTCTGTGTGATCCCAGTTTTCTAGCAAAAGCTTACACTTCTGATGGTTAAAGGACATGGAATTCCAGAAGATGGAAAAAGTTAGTCTTAAGAATAAATCAGATTCAGGATTATAAAATTTATTCAGAACAATCACCACCACCATTACCCATCACCCTCACATCTAGACTTGAATGTAGATATTTTAACCCAGCACCTGCCCAGGTGTGCTAAAGCACAGCATTCCCAGCATTAGCGTGGTCTCGTGCCTACCTTGACTAATTTGGAACTGAAAGTTGGGACCAAACTCAGGCATAGGATTGATTCAATTTAAATAATCCCCTCAGGGGATAGGAATTAAAAAGAACAGTTTTTTTATTGTTTTATTATTCATATGTGCATACAAGGCTTGCCCTTATCTCTAATTTTGTTGAAGAGAGAGTATAAGCAATAATAGGAAGGAGCAAGGGTTTTTGCTAGTTGAGATAAGGATAGCTATACAGGGAGTTGATTCACATTAATTTCCTGTGTGAAGAACACTTTTTTTAAAAGGAAAGAAAACTAAGCTTCACCAGCAGAAATACTTCTGCTAAGGAGCTTAAAATGCTTCTGTGGTGGTGTTTTTGATTGGGGCTATTTACACAGTAAGGGGATTTTCCTTCTTTCTTAAGGCTTGCTCCTACATCAAACTGCATGCTCTGTAGAGGGCACAATTGTAACTGGCAATGAGTTCTAGTGAAAGAATTTTTTCTTCTGGTTTTGTTTTATGCGTCTTTGCCTTGACCTCTCTGTTTCCTCTGTTTTCTGTTTTCATCTACAAAAGTGTGGTGAACAGGGCTTCTCTTAGGTAACTGAACTCTAGTCTATTCAAACTCCTTTCGGGAAACTGAGTTTAAATGCTACTAAAGAATTAGCTATCTAAATTATACCAACTAAATAATTATCCAATCAGCATTAATCGACTTTTCACACTTTACGTCATTTAAAAAGAGAAGGGTTCAGTGTGCCTCTCGTTTTTCCTTCTAGATTACAAAGCTTTCCACGAGGCTGCTGAACACTTCCAGCCTTACATCAAGTTTTTTGCCACCTTTGACAAAGGGGTAAGTATTTATGAAAGTCCACCTTAAATACTCTTCTACAGAAGTGTGTGATTCAATCCTGAGGGATTGAAGTTTGAACTTTTGCCACTTTTTTTTTTTTAAGAGTCCAGAAGATGCTGGAGCAGAGAAGGGGCACAATGAAAAGAGATCACAGTCAATTTGTGTATGCATTGAACCACTTCTGTGGCTATGGCCCCTGCTTTCAAACCTAGGGTCAAAAAGAAGGACCTGAGTGATAGATCCAAGTAATATAATCTAAACATGAACAAGTTTGCCCTAATTGGTTGGATTTGGGGTTGAGAGAGATTCTGGGCAAGAACACTACAGCAGTAATAGTGATCACTTCTTAAGTACTAGGCTCTGCACTAAGCTTTATGTAGATTTTCTTATTCCGTCCTCTCAAAGGTCTGTAAGAGAGGCATCAATGTTCTCACTTTACAGAGGATGGAGCTGAGGCATGGAGGGATTAAGTGATTTGTTCATGGTTACATAGCTCGCAAATAATGAAGTTGAATATAGTCTTGAATCAGCCTGATTTCAAAGCCAGTGCTCTGTACTGCCATGCTCTGGGGAAAGAAGCAACACAGGTAAAATGAGTAGCCGTGTTTGGCACATGTGTAAACCTGCAGGAAATGTTAGCCAGCTGTCAGGACTTTTGTTAATAAGGCAGTCAGTCAACTAGGCCCAGAACAATGAGAAATTGGAACAGGACATTAGAGGGAAGGAACACAAAAACCTAAACTGGATCCATCACTGGCAACTTAGGGACTTCGGGGTGAGAACTCATCTGAAAGGAAGATCTCTCAGGCAGATGAACTTGGCCAAGCAACAAAGCCTTAGTTTGTAGAGGGCTGGTGCAAGTCTGCATTTAGGGTAGTATCAATTTTCAGAAGTGCCTCCAGTGCACTTCTTCATAGGCTGTGGCCTATGAAGTGACGTCAGGCTGTAATTAAAACCTATGAAAGCTGCTTTACTAACATCTGTGAAAGATACTGTTCATGTTGCTTTGCAGGATTTCATAACATTTGACAGAGAAAGACACATTCTTGATACCTTTGTATGGAACACGGGGGCTGTTGCAATAGGACCAGTTTGATGGCATTTGGACTTGCATCGATTGTGGCGGGGGGTAGGGGTGTGAGAGTGGGGTGTGGGAGATGGTGGGGTCCTGAGGCATGCATGGCTGGCTGCAGCCTCAAAAATGTCTAGTAGGGGATGCTAGAGCAGGAGAAAGGAAAAAGTACTAAATATCAGGAAGGGGCTAAAAAGACCTGCTTGTACAACATACCCTAGGGAATCTCTGAGAGGCCGAGGTGCTTCACAGAGCTTTGAAACTAAGAGAGGCAGGGGATAGGGAAGCACTCACAAAATCACAGAGATGCAAAAATAACTGGCAAAAGGCAGTGTAACAAGAGGACCTGGTCATTGATTAGATAAAGGAGGAAAGAGGCCCCAAAATAACTTGAGATTGAAAGTCATGGGTTCCAGATAGCAAAGACTACGGAGCTACTGAAACATGAGGAAATCTAGGAAGAAGAACCTGTCAAGGAACACAAAGGGGTAACAAGTCATACTGTCCACAAGTTGAGAAAACGTTCAATGGAGGTGTCTTTCATTCATTCATTTACTCACTAACTCACTCACTCTCAACAAGTTTTTATTGAGTGCTTTAATGTGCCAGGCACATGACCAACATTAGCCAAACCAGTTCTCGGCCTTGTAGAATTTAGAGTTTAGCATGGGGAGAGAAGCTAGGAAGATAGTAAATAAGTAAACAAACTAATAACTGTATCGTGAGCTGTAAAGAGGTTGAGATGTCTGACTGCTGAGTAGATTTGGAAATCAGTAGTTACCATTACAGTTGATTTTTCACTGGTCATGACTGAAAAGGCTTGTTAACTTGTAGAAATACCATCCACATAAAAATTCACATGCATGTGTTACAAAAATGGCCATTGTACTTTGTAGTCTTCTTGTCTTTGCCAAAATCTATCCCAACTAGCTGCAGGTGGGACAAATTCATGTTTATGGACCTACTTGGCTTTTAATAGTGCAAAGCATTCATTTTAATCACAATGTCCATGAACCAGGTCTGTTCCTAGAACTGTACCTTGGATGTAGAAAAGCTGCTTAATACTTATTATGGTGTAAGTTGGTCAGTCAAATCACCTTACCACCAAGACCCAGTGACAAGAACGAAAGGAAGGGATCCTCTCATATTCTATCCTCTGAGATAGAATATGAGAGTACTCTGTGAGGGTGGTGGGAAGAGTGAAGAAACCTCTGGAAAATTTTACTCAGGTTTCCTGAGACTTAAGGATATGACAATCCAATTTGACATTCATAGACTGGACACACAAAGCCAGGCACTGGCATTCAGGGACCGGAGGCTACCTCATGTGTGTGCACACTCAGGCACAGGCGTGCCTACACTACTAATCTTGACACTAGTTGATCAGCGCTCTCTCTCTCTCTCTCTCATTACAATAGGGAACAAATTCATAAGAACATATTACAAGAAGGACAAGGAACCATCTCACTAAAACATGAACTGTGCAGATATTGTTTACGGGGACATAAGTAGGTGAATTTCTTTCTTTACACTGGCAAGGAGAAGAAAATTTTCAAATGAAAAGAAAACTAGAATACAGGCAAACTGTATTCAGGCCTAGAATGTTTTACTACCTGTACTCAAATTCTACCAGAATTTGATAACCAGATATATGATCTCCAGATATATGATCCTAATGAATTGTTTATCCAAATTGTGCCTCAGTTTCCTCATTTGCAAAATAAGTATAATAAGAGTTCTTACCTCATGCAGTCAAAGTAAGGATTATGTAAAATAATCCAAATGAAACACTGTGCAATGATGTCTGCCACAAAGTAAGCATTCCATGTGTTTGCTGTTATAACTGATTTTGTTCATCCAATCATTTCCCATTCCCTAGCAGCCTGGTTCCTAGCAAGAGACTCAAAAATATCAGATCCAATGTCATCTTTTAGTACTTTTGCTTTCCCTAAAGTACTATAAGAAGTGTCTTTTGGAATATAGTGGCCTAGAATTAATAGAAATTGATTACATTTATGGACATAAATAGACCTCCTGTGTAAGAGCTTTCTCCTCCTCTTCCCCAATTAGTCACAGACCCCTGGGTCATTGGGTGGCTGCACTGTGGTTACCACCACAGGGCGTCAGCTCCTAGGCAACTGCTCTGGAGTTTCAAGGGAACCACAGTTCATTCCTGTGCACTCCTGGACCACAGCTCTGCACTAGAAGAGAATAGCATTTGGTTTTCTATTGAGTGTTCCACATTCCAGACCTCTCAAGTCATGTCACAAAGAAAGGTCTTGAGTTCAGCAGCTTTGCAGGAGAACACAGCAACTATTCTGCTTGACAACAGACTGACATGTGGCCACTTTAATCCAGAGAGAAAATCTCTCCCAGGCAACAGGCTCTGTCTTTCTTCAAGCCTTTTATGTTTGAGAGGGGTGAGTCACTCCTGCTGGCTTGCTGGGGACTACCCAGATTTTAACACCAAAGATCCTACATCCCAGAAATCCCGTCTGCCCTAAGCAAAGCAGGATGGCTGGTCACCTATGATTGTTAGCAAGCTAGCCCACAAAACACCAGGCAAGCCTGGTCTGAGAGACTGACCCCTACAGCTCACACTTCAGTCAAAATAACAATTAGAGTTTATGAGCTAATCAAGGGCAGATTAATGGATTGATTGGTTTCTGATTCTGCAAAACTGTATGCTGTAAGGGTTTCAACCAATTACCTGTTCCATCAAAATTGGTTCAACTAAATTCAAACAACTCGCTTCCTTCTCCAGCTCTGGCGATTATAATAAAGTGATGGTGATTGTCCAGTGAAATTTTCCACTCTTCATTCTAACTGCTCCCTGCCCCTCCTTGACCCTCATTTACTAGATGAGTGTTATCTTTCCTCTCTCTCTTTCTTTGATCACATGAGATTGGTCCAGCTCAGGCCACAGACAATGAGTTCCTGTTACTTTAACATTTAAGTTAAAATTGCACATACGTTCTTGTGTCTTTGCCAGAGAACACATATACTTCTGTTGGATGGATAACCATTGTACTCTAGACTAGCATTCAAACAAACTGTGTCTTATTTCTGTTTCAGGTTGCAAAGAAACTGTCCTTGAAGATGAATGAAGTCGACTTCTATGAGCCATTTATGGAGGAGCCCATTGCCATTCCCAACAAACCTTACACAGAAGAGGAGCTTGTGGAGTTTGTGAAGGAGCACCAAAGGTGCCAAGGTGGTGTGTGGGGATGGGGTCTGGGATCTGGGGAATGTGGAAGAGCCTCAGGGTGATGACAGTTCAGACCTACCAAAAGCAACAACGTAGGGTAAGTATCCCAGCAAAACAGAGCGCAGCAAAATGGCTTTGCTGGTCATTAACAAAAAGCAGGTATGTTATCACTTCTAAGTATGGATCTGTATTTGCAAGTGGAGTTAGACTACCTCCATTCCATCAGCAAATCCCCTCAAACCAGAGAAAGACATAAGTAAGATTCCGCAGTAATAATGATAGCGATTTAGTGAGTACTTCCTATATGCCAAGCCCCATGCTAGGTACTTTACGGGAACTACTTTACCTTGTTTCCAACTTTGGGGGTAATTATTATTATCCCAATATCACAGATCAAGGGATAAGACTCAGAGTAGTTTCATAACTTAGCCAAGAATGAATATCCATACAGACAACTTCTGCCACCACTCAGAGTAGCTCTAGCAGAGATCAACAAACTTTTGCTTTTAAGGACCAAGTAGTAAACATTTCAAGTTCTGTGAGCCAGATGGCCTCTGTTGCAACTACTTGGTTTCTAGAGTGAAAGCAGCCTCAGTCCACATGTAAACAAATGGGTGTGGCTGCATCCCAGTCAAAGTCTATTTATAAGAACAAGAGAGAGGTACTGGCTGGAACTGGTCCACCAGCTGGAGTTCATGGGAACATGGACTATTTAGTGGGTTCATCGCCTTGCTTATCCTTCCTCCTATTTAGATGAATAATCCCAACGATAAAGCAATGGCAGTTTTAGGTTGGGACAACTGGACCTTCCTATTTTCTCTCTCCAGTTCCCTCATTTTGGGTCTGCTCTGGGCTGTCAGGAGTGGGACCTGTGAGGAGGGAACCCTGTGAAGGAGCTGATCCTGTCGCCTCTGACCCATGGCAGTAGAATTCATATGCCTTGGATCTAATAGGTCTGTGGACTTATGAAAAGGCGAGTGGTTGGGCCCAGGTACCTGCTGCAACAGCAGGGTAGAGCAATTCTTTCTTAGGGTAGGAGTGGGTTAGGGGCTCTTCATGATCTTGTAAATGAACTGACTGCTTATTTGCATTTCAGGAGACTGAGCCTCAGTCTCTGCCATAGTGACTTCCTACTCAAGGAGGCTCCTTTTTTTCTAGACCTACTCTACGCCGCCTGCGCCCAGAAGATATGTTCGAAACATGGGTAAGAAAGTGGCAAACTCTTTCTGTGGGGTAGAGATGAGTGTATTCTCCAAAAAGAGTACCCCTTTAATTAAGTCCTAAGACTCCATCTAAGTGTCTTTGGCTGGGGTTGATGTCTAGCTGGTGGCAGATTTTAGACACAGATAGTGTCGTGCTCAGTTAAAAACCCAGTTTTCTGTGGATTCAGTGTAAGCCTCTTTGGTAGTACTTGCTAGGCAAAATCGCTCAAGTTCACTTCCCACAGTGCTGCTGGCTTTCATTCATGGCCCAAGAGCAAGGATAGTATAGTGGAAAGACTGCAAAGTCATAGAGACCTGGGCTGAGGTCCAGAATCTGCCATCAAGTAGCTTTGTGCCCTCCCTCAAGTTGTGTGGTCTTTCCGAGATTTAGTTTCCCCACCTAACATGGGACTTTTTGAAAGAAAAATGAGATGAAGAGTTCAGTACATGGTCATGCTCAATTGATGAATACTAACTTTTAAAGAAATATCAACTCAAAAGCACTGGAAAGTGGCAGAGTCAACTTGTCCTCTACAACTGGGTCACAGTGTGTCAGGTGATTTAGATAGTATTAGAAAGAGGTCCTTGGAGATGAACCCCACAGCCCCTCCTCAGCACTGCAGGGCATTCCATAAACAGTAATGACCAGCGTCTGGGGAGCGTCTTCCAAGGCATTTCATGTGCCTTTTACTTGGACCTGGACCTGTCAATGGCTCTATAAAGTGACATAGAACAAATGTTATTTTCAGCCATTTTCCGTATGGAGAAGGTAATGATCATGCAGATTAGGTTAATTACCCAAGGACACATAACTTATTAAGCATTAATTCTTGGGACTTAAATTAAGGCCATGCTGGCGGAGTGGCTCAAGTGGTAGAACACCTGCCTTGCAAGCATAAGGCCTTGAGTTCAAACCCTAGTACCACCAAAAAAAAAAAAAAAGAAAGAAAGAAAAAAAGCGAACTCTTAAATTAAGGCCATTTAGAGCCGATGTCATGATCCCTCTGTCAGAGTGGCCATGTTTCCACAGGGTGCCATTTTGGGTGTGGGTGGGGGACAAAGGGATTAACATGGAAGCATTTATTTAATTCTTTAATTCATGGTCTGAGTGATAGATGAATAGAACCAGGGAGTAATGTGACACTGACTGTTTTGCTGGCATGGAACTGACTTCGATTTCTGAAGGCAAAGCAAACATTTCACAAGACACCCAAGGGCAAGTAATTGAGTCCAGAGGAGAGCACTACTGGAGAACTCTAGCACAACAGAAACCTATTTTCCTAACATTTAAGCCTTTCAAAAACATAACCTTTAAAGATGTCTTATTACTAAATTTAGAAATGATAGCAATAGATGCATATCAATGCTTTAACATAACACTCCTTTAAAAATTTGTTTTTACTTTTTACTCTAAAATGATTTCAGTCTTACAAAAATGGTGCAAAGAATTCTTTATCTCTTCATACAGATTCCCTACACATTAACGTTTTTACTACCTTGGAGCATTCTCTCTCTCTCTCTCTCTCTTTCTCTTTCTTTCTCTCTCTGTCTCGAATGTATTTTTTTCTGAACTATTTGTGAGAAAATAGCAAAAAAAAAATTGTCTTTATTCCCCTTTTATCACTAAACCCTTTAAATGTTTTCTAAAAACGTTTAGAAACAGTACAATAACCAAACTTGGGGAATTAACACAGATTTAACTTCACTAACTAGCCTATAGACAGTTGTCCTACTAATATCCTTTATTGCAAGAGAGAAGCATTTTTTCCTAGCCAAGGATCCAATGCAGATTCTCACACTTGTGTGTGGTCATCACATCTCTTCAGTTGTCTTTAATCTGTGACAGGTGTTTGGTCATTCTGTTGTTCATAATGCAAAGTGCCATTTTCAGTTGAGAGCAGTTATTGTGTTCTGTTCTGCCATGTATGTATCTTAGTTTTTCTTTATCCCAAGAGACCATATTCAATTGTCTAGGCTCTGGGAAGACACACAATTGTAGTACTGTCTTTACTGACAGTTACACACCTTACCACAGTATTGCACCAAGACCTGGACTTCCGTTTCTGAAGAGCCTGTGTCCTCTCTCTGACCACCTGCCCCCTAACACACACACACACACACACACACACACACACACACACATGCATACACACACATACACACGACCCCACATGCACACTGCTGCATAAATCCTTCCCTTACATCAAAGGCAGAGAAGGAATTTTGCTGAGTGGCTCCATTGCCACTTACTCTCTGCTTTCTTTTCACTTAATGAATAAGAAAAGCCACGGCCTTTTGCTATAATATAAAATAGTAGCAATGACTCCTCTTTCTCACGTTATTACGTATTCACTCGTTTTCAATTGGGGGAAGGCAGAGTATTAAGTTTAAGCAAGTAGTGAAAAGAGCTAAAACAGTTTATTCTTTCTCAACACCTCATCCTGGACTAACCACGTGACTTACCCATTACCCTAGGCAGGCCCATTCAGCCCCTCGTCCAAGTCTCCCAACTAGGGAGGAAAGGAGGACAGGCCCTCCAGGGTCATCTGGGCATCCCTAAAAAGGTTAAGCAGAGCTAGATGCAGTGATGCACACCCGTAACTCCAGCACATGGAATGCAGACACAGGAGGATCATGAGTTCAAGGTTAGCCTGGGCCACATAGTAAGTTCCAGACTAGCCTGAGCTGCATAGTAAGACCCTGTCTCAAAAAGTAAAGGGGTTGGTCAGAAGCACTTCAAGGGAATTGCCTGCCGTGTTCCTGCCCACTTGGGCAGGCACTACTCCAAAGAACAGCGTCTCCATAGGTCACTCGGCCAGAGCAACTTAAACCAGAGATGTTGTAGAGAGTGACAGTTAGTGAACTTGAACCTCATCAGCTTCTATATCCCCTTTCTCAGACACGACAGAATATTTAAATAAGATAGGAAAGCCAGCTAGGCTGAAGCAACCATTTACCCTCTTCCACTGTTCAGGTTCCTAAAGTAGCAGACCATATAAAAGCACATCATATACTAGAACTAAAAAATCAGTGCCTACCCAGGAGCTGGTGGCTAACGCCTGTATTCCTAGCTACTCAGGAGGCAGAGATCAGGAGGATCACAGTTCGAAGCCAGCCTGGGCAAATAGTTCACAAGACCCTATCTCAAAAAAACCCATCACAAAAACAGGTCTGGTGGAGTGGCTCAAAGGGAAGGCCCTGAGTTCAAGCCCTAATACTGCAAAAAAAAAAAAAAATTCAGGGCCTAGTAACAGTTGGTGTGTAATGCCAAGAGCAGTGTTTATTTATTTATAATAGTCAAAGAATGTCAGGGGTAGGCAGAGCAATCCATCCAGGCCCAGTGCTGACCTCTCATCCTCCTTGCACATTCCACTCTGATCTTGGCAAGTGGTCTCAGCCAGAGTCCTTGGCAACTGCCCACAAGAGATGAGGGTCAGCAAGTTCCTCCCTCTATTGCAATAGTGAAGTACTTCCAGGATGAGGTCAAAGACCACTCTACAAGCCCCTAGGCCACTCCACTGCATCTTAGTTAGGAATCCTGACAGCCTAAGGTACATTTTGTTTTCTTTGTGTTTCTTCACTCCACATGAGAACATTCAACAGAGATGAAGGAAACAGAGCAAAATATTGACAGTTGGTAACATGTCCAGTTGGTAGATAATGAATAGTGCTAGCTTCCTCTTGGCGTCTGTAATATTTCCAAATTTTCTTTAATGAACACGGAAGATTCTTTTTTGAGTCAATAGCCATTGATAAGAACCTATTCCATTGTGGTATACACAGAGTTATCAAAGTAAACATTGCTGTCCTTAGGAGCTCAGAGTTGAGTAGAAGAAATAGTCTCAAAATGCAGTGTGTGCCCGGTGTGGCCCCGCTGTGACAGAGGAGCGTACAGAGTTCTGGGGAATCAGAGGAGGGTGTGCACCAAAGTATTTCCCAGACTCCAGCTCTGTTGTGGGTGTAGTGTGTGCTCGCTGTATAGGCAGTTCCCCTTTCAGCCTCTTTTAACTTAAGAGCCACTGATCCAAGTTTACAATGTTTCCTGCAGACCCTGCAGAGGGCAGTTGATCCATTCATGGAGCCCACTCTGTGGTTGGTGGTGAGGAAGAAAGAATGGGGAGGCTATGGACTATATGTTTGTATCTCCCCAAAATTCGTATTTTGAAGTTCTTATGCCCATGGTAGGGCCTTTGGAGGTGAATGAGTCATGATGGCAGAGCCTGGGTCACGATTGTGATTATAGTGCCCTTTGAAAAGAAGCCTGAAGCCAGGCAAGGTGGTACTCATGTAACCTAAGCACTGGGGAGGCTGGGGCAGAAGGATTTCAAGTTCAAGGCTAGCATCGGATACATGGCTTTTTTTTTTTTTTAAGCCCTAAAGAACCAGCTAGCCCCTGCCACCTGTGAGGACATAGCAAGAGGGGACTGTCTATGTGGCAGACAGAAGGCAAGCCCTTATCAGAAACTAGATCTGCTAGAACCCAATCCCTAGAATAGTGAAAAATAAATCTCACTGGTTTTTGTAGCTTACAAGCTCCCCGGTTTGTGATATTTTGTTATGGCAGCCAGAAGGGTCTAAGACAGTAGGTGTGAGTCCCACTTATGTCCCTACTGGGTCTGTGGCCTTGGTAAGTCACTTTGATTCTTTAAGCATTAAGTGGGAATAAGGTTTTCTTTTGACATTTAGAGCTAATGTCTTTACAAAGCACTCACTCAGAGTGGCAAATGTCAGGCCCTGCCAGCGTTTTAAAGCCCGTTTCTATTTTAAGGCACATTCCCTTCTCTCAGAGAGCTTACCATCTGATTGATGAGGGAGGATTCATGCCATGAAAAAGAACTTCCAAGGCAGTGGGAGCTGAAGGCCAACTGTGTGGTCTGGGGTCAGAGAAAGCCCTTGGCATAGCCCTTGGTTTGCTCAGTGCTGTGTCAGCTTTCCTTCTCAGGGCTCTCACCTACTAACTGACTCATGGGCTTGCCTAAGGATTCTTGCTTGGTAATGTTTATTACTGAAAACACCCGGCCCGTTGCACATACCTGCTTCTTCAACAGTGCTCAATACAGGTTTGTGAGCTGAATCTGTGAGATGCACGTAGGGAGCGACTTTGTCCCTTGGTTACAGCTGTCCGTCCAGAGACCATCTTGGCCCTGAGGAGTGACAGATACATTATACACAGCCTCTTAGAAAACGAATATAGATTCCTCATTCTAAAACCAATTTCCCAATGCGTTCTAGAAGGGCACACAGAAATGAGGCCAGCTTCACAGAGTTAACAGCGCTCACTTCCAACTGATGGCAGGCGACAGAGACACAGGGTAGCCTAATGAGAAGTGATCAGGATATTCTGTCTGGCGATAATAGCAAATGTAAAACAGTGAAATCTCAGACTCCCCTTCTGGTGACTGTCGAATTTGTGTAATAAAGCAGTGCACACTTCTGTGTGTCTGTAAAATTCAATTCCCCAGAGAACCAGACCAAGGCAGAGCCTACGCTCTTGTTTTTAATAATAATATTTTCTATTTAATCTGTCTTAGAATTTTTGGAGGTTTTGTCCATTCCAAACTCAAAGGGATAAAAAATTAGCATTTAGATAGAATTGCATCAGCATTACAATCAATTGAAATGGAAACAGGATGGAGGAGGATGGAGAGGCCTGGAGATCCCCCTCCCATCCATACGATGATTCTGAGGCGATATTCAGGGTGTTCAAGGCATACTTCTGGCATGTCAGCCATAGTCAGTTTTCATTTGGCTCTGTCACCCAGGCCTTTTGTCTCCAAGGGATCCCCTCCAGTTTTCCCATGATCACACTTAAAACAGAGGCTTCTCCACCTCCTTGCTTCCTTCGCTAGCTTAATCAATGCAAAGAAGACACATGGTCCATGGTCCTTTCTGTCCAGGATGTGGACACATAAAATCCCCCTTGTTTGCCACATAATTTGAAAGACTCTCTCTGGTTTCTTTTCCTTGCTCTGGCCCCCCCAGCCACACCCACTGCTTTTAGTCATACACCCTTGCTAGACCTTCCTCCCAGTCTCTCCTTGGAGCCTCCCATACTCTTACAAGTGTGTATACCGATTTGGCAAGGTTGCAGTTGAGAGTAGAAGGAACCCCAAGGAGACCTTCCAGGGCTCAAAGGTGTCCCACTGTTTGCTCTGTGAGCTCTGTTTCTTCAGTCAGAGGCGCTGGTGAGGTCCTCACTAGTTCACAATTCTTGTGGGGACAATGGTTCACATCCTAATTGACTGAAGGTTTCCTGTCTGCTGCCCACTTGGGGATAATTCAGGGTCTGTCACAGCACACAGAAGTTTCCACAATCTGGTACATGTCTCCTGATGGTGAATCCTTGAAGCAGACTGGCAGCCATGTTCACTGAACTGCCTCCAGGGTGCTGTTGCCCTTGGAGCTCACAATAAGCCAGACTCACATTCTCTCCATTTTCTCTTTGCTGCTGCTTTCCTGGACTGGCCAAACCACAAGAGTGAGGCCCATTTCATGCTAAAGTCTGTGTAGTTGGTGTTGTCCTGTCTTGCAAACCCATCTGTCTGAATCCCCAATCAGAAGTCCATGCATTGCTGCCAGCTGCTCAGCAGTGGCCCCAGATGCTCAGCAGTGACCCCCTCCTCCACGTGTGTCTGCCATGCCCCTCCCTGCCTGTGTCCTTCTGCATGTCCACTCAGCCTCTGTGTCTTTTAGCTCTCTTTCGTATCTCTCCACTTGAGTATAATCCTGGATTGTTCTGTTTTTTTTTTTAAACAGGAAGATGATTTGAATGGGATCCACATTGTGGCCTTCGCAGAAAAGAGTGACCCAGGTAGGAAGCCCCAGGGTGCTTAGCCTTTTATCAGCTGACTTCTCACCTTCCTCAGCCCTCACCTTCGCTCACGTCCCATCTACAACGCAACCACAAGATATTGGGCACCCCCTGGTGGTTGCCTGTTAGGTATGAGTCTTTCCAATTGTGTGCACAGCTAAGGCAAGAGAAGGTGAAGACAGGTTAGAACTACAAACATTCTGCTACCCTGCTCAAACTGGAAATGAGTACTGGGTACTGGGGAGGTTACTGCATGTGTCTTCTGCTCACATTAAGTGTTCATTTACCTGTTTCATGATCAAGCCTATATCAATCACCTTAGCATAAGAAGAAATGCATCCTTTGATTTGAAATACTATCTGTGTTTAGAAAACAGAATAGAAAATATCTTCCTGAACAACGAGAATGGGGCAGAGCAAGCAGCTTATTTTTAAAAAGTAGGAAATGATCTTATAAAGGGATTAGTAGATTTGTTTTATTTTTGCAAGTTGGACATTACCCTGGTTTCTTCTTTTCAATACTGGTAGGGTGGAGTGTGGGAAAAATTAATTTCGCAGGAGGTAAAATACTGGTTCCCCATGGCAGTGGTCGGTGAGACACAGAGGCCCCAAAGGGAGAGAGGAAGTGGAGACTCTGAGGTGTGTTCAGGGGTACCTGGAACAATCCAGAATGCAGCCAGGGAAGGCAAAGGACTTCATTAAGGAGGCTCAGAAGCTGGGCCATGGCCATGAGGTGCTGGGGTAGGAGCTCCAAAACCAAACCCTGCTGGGGCTACAAGTGCCCAGGCCATCTGGGGCTGGCTGAGACAACACCTTTCAGAACCTGTGGTTTTATGGAGCCTTGAGGCAAGTCGTGATGCACGTTCAGGCTTGGGAACCACTGCTCCAAGAAATGTAGAATTCTGTGGTCTTGGCCTTTGTCAGGGACCTCTCTGTAGGAAGTAGACATCCAGCAGAGACCAGGAACAGAGGGAAAAACAGGGAGGAGGGCCAATTGTCTTATCCATCAGTACATACCTTCCTCACTCTGCCTTGACACATGGTTGGCGCCCAATAAATATTTGTGGGTAGATGATTGGATAGATGACTGATCTACAACTGAAATCCCCAATTTTTATCCTATAAGTTTTAAATCAAAACATAGTCCATAATACTGTAATAGTCACCATAATTCAGTGGGGTTTTTTATATTCACAAAGTTGTGTAAACTTCAGCATAATCTAATTTCAGAATGTTCCAGAACTGCTAAATGCCCATTAGCAGTCACCCTCATTCTCCCCATCCCCACTCATGGCAACCACCAATTTCCTATTGTCTCTGTAGATGTGTCTATTCTGGATATTTCGTATAAATGCAATCATATAATATACAGCCTTTTGTATCTGGCAACTTTTACTTAGCATAATATTTTCAAAGGATATCCATTCTGTTGCATGTTATCGGTATTTCAGTACTTTTTAGGACTCAGTAATATCCCATTGCATCAAAAACCAAACTTATGCTACAAATGATCTTGGAGATTCCACCACCTTTTTTCATTAAATCTTTGGAATGTCCATTGATGTGCCAAATTCCCCATCATAGACTTGCAGAGTTGGAAAAACTCTTCAAGAAGATCTAGGCCTGTCAAGAAACAAAAACAAACAAAAAACAGCATAATTGCAGCTTCTTTTCAGATCCTGGCCACCCCTCTACTCCTGGGAGAGAAAATAGTAAAGGAAGTCTGTTGCCTAAGGTTTACAGGCTATGGTCAAACAGAATCGGATCCCTGGCATTGTGTGAACAGAGAGTAGTTGGCACTGCAGCTGCCTGCTGGCTGGGCTCCAGAGGGCTTCCTTCCCACCCCACTGCCCCCTTCCAGGACTGTGAGGGGAGGCCTGTCTGGCTCTCTGGAACAATGGAACAAAAGGGCCTCCCTGAAGCTGCAGAAACCTGTTTGACAGAGATTACTGCTGTAATGAATCAAGCTCCTGAAACTCCTTCCACCCCTCCCTTCACAAATATCCCTGGGCCCAAGCTCTGCCATCCCCAAAAGAGCCCAAGCTGGGGCTTGCCACTGGGAAGCTGAGCAATGCACTGGGGAGGGCAAAGGAAGGGGAGTCCTGGAAACATCTTCTTTCATCAAGGGAAGGCTTTTGAGCGAAAAGGAAGGGCTTTCGGGTGAGAGTCCCTGGCTTTGACTTTGTGGTTTGTCCAGTGCAGAGCATTGATGTGTGTAACCTAGGGCCAGAAACCTGGCTACAGGACTAGAAGTTTCATTCCTGCACAAAGGACAGTTCCTGGATTCCTTTGTTCTTGCTAACAAATTACACACGACCTATTGCCTAACCAAACTGCTTCCCACCTGCTGAAGGAGAGAAATTGTACATCCAGGAAAAAGTATGGTTTGTTAACAGCTGAGAGTACTGAGGAGCTCTAAATGATCTCCTTTAAGTCTTAAGGCCCCTCTGTGATAGGTGTATGACTATTATTCTTCCAGTGTCTGATGAGAAAAGCAAGTCTTAGAGGTTAAATTACCTGCCCACATGGCTCACTGTCTCAAAGCCAAGGTTCCATCCTAGCAGGCTCTCTCAGCCTCTAAATGTATCATGATAATGATGGTGTGTGCTGAGCTAACATAACAAGCTCATTTTACAGCTGAAGAAACTGAGGCTTGGAAAGGTTAACTCTCTGGAAAGCAGTGGAATTAAGTTGAAACTCATCTGCTTCCCAGCCCACACCCTTAACCACAAAGCCTGCTGCAGACTGACTTGTACTGTGTGCCTTAGTTCCTACCCTGACAATATCCAGGTCATCAGAGTGCCCCTTCCTTCCTCTCTGCTGTCCTTCACCACACTTTCTACCTCCAAGAAAACAGAGACACAGACAAGTTCATCAGTGTGCTCGAGCTCCCAAGGTTAGAGGCATGGCAGAAAAGTGAGCTTGGACATCCCTCCCGAGGGCTCCATTTGGGTGTGGCCCACTCTATAGCACCACCTCCCAACAGTGCCCTGGACAGCGGCCAGCCTAGGCACCAAGCATGCGCAGTGCTGTTGCAATGCACTGAGTTAGGGATGAGGGCTAGCAGAAGTGGAAGAGGGTGCCAGAAAGTGAAACATGAGCAGAGTCACCTGGCAGCTTGAGCACCCAAAGGAATGAGGACAAGTCTGACTTCCTCCCAGTCCCCACTGATGTTCCCAAATTTGTAATCTGAAATTATGTAGAGCAACAAATTATGCCTATCCCAGTGACCTGTCCAGAGGCCTCTGCAGTCCTGACCTTCCCAGCCAGAGCTGTATTCTTCCACTGCTAAAAGCTAAGGGTAGGCAGGCCTCCCTGGGAGGAGGCAGGGTCTGCTCTCTGGCCATGGATCATAACCCCTGGATTTCTCCTGCTGGAAACATTCATCCTGGTGTCCCCAGGCAGGCCTGGCTGGGAAGGACATTCTCAGGGCTGTCTGCTACAACCCATCTTCCAGAGCCTTCTCTTTGCCTGCTGAGCTAACAGAGCAGGCCAGAGTCATTTGTTTGACAGGTTGGAAAAGAAATGACTCTCTTCCATGTTGCCCCCAGATGTGTCTGCATCAGGCTGACATCTTCTTTATAACACTTGATGAAAGGTTTGCAAAGTGGCCTTTCTACATGAGCGCATGCTGGATGGATATCCTCCATGGGCGGTAGAAATATTCACACTAACAAGCTGAAAACACAAGGACAGGCTGCTGTCTGCGAGGACTCGCACAAAATTAGTGATGAGCCCTGGAAAGAACACTCCAAACCCCACTGCACCTGAGCCTCTTCTGCCTCAGTTTCTTGTCAAAATGGATTTGAGAACAATTGTCTCAAAAAAGAACACTAACCGCTTCTTTAAGCTTTCAAATTTAAATTTGCTTTAGCAAGTTCAGTGTCTGATTCTTAGGTGCTAATGTTATTCAAACCACCTTACAAATAATCTGTTTAAGCCTTGCAACAACCCTATGGGTGGGGACACAGGTACAGAGAAGTTCGATAGTGCTCCCAGCTGGTATGGTTAATAAGTGGTGGCACTGGGATTCAAACGTAGTGGTTAAGCCCCAAGTCTGGGCTCTGTAACTACCCCTTATGCTTCTCTCCATTGAGAAAAATCTATCATTTTCCTCAATTTTGAAATTTGAGGTTCAGGAGAAGACAGCAGAGAAAGAAGGGTTGATAAGGAGAGGAAGGAATGGCAGGATTTTCCTATGTCTCAGGTGCCATCTGAAGGCCACAGGGCCCACACAGTGTCCTCTGTTCTAAGTGACTCACTTTAACAGGTTGCTTCTTGCCCACTCTGTCCCATCAGGGAGAGCCTCTAGCCTTTTCTGTCCCTCTGAGTTTCCCTACAGGGCCTAGGTTCAGAGAATTCTGCTTTTGGAGAAGTCCATACTTTCTGAGTGGGCTCTGGCAGAGGACTGCTGGGCCTTTCCAAGAGCAGACCTGAGGGCCTCACCTGCCTTATTCACCTTTGTGTCTCTGCCCTGGGCCCAAAACATTGTAGTCAGTCAAAATATACCTAGAGAGCTGCGTTTGCCCACAGTAAAAGATGAAGGTAGTGGGAAAAAACTTAAAAGGTTGATGAACTTGGGAAAGGGAAAGGCACAGAACCTTCTAGGCTTGCCTACTACCTTCCCATGATAATAATAGTACCTACTCATGTCAAGAAGCCTGTGAGGTTTGGGAGAACCAGTCTGTATATTTTCAGAGGAGAAAATGGAGGTTCCAAGGGACTTAAGAAATTCATACAAGGTCTCCAAGCTCCAGACACAGTGTGCGTTCCAGGTACAACCTCCAGGCTGCACGATGCTGGCCTCCAGCCTATCCACCTGCCACATGGGAATGGACAGGGTACCACTCCAGGATCATGGTTCTCCAAAGCCAACACTTGCCTTCCAAAGCAGAGATGCTGAGGCCTCTAACTGCCTGTGGCAGGGAGTCAGGGAGGATTCATTTCAGAGCCTTCGTGGACTGGGCACAGCCATCTCCCCCAGAGGTCATAAAGATGGAAGCAAGGGAAAGGCATGCAGCATGGCAGGCCTGCTTGCTCCTGGGCCAAAGCTTGATTTGCGACAAGTACCTCTGCTAAATGGGGACCTTGTCTCCCAAATGGCTGTGCCCCGCCTGGACCTGTCCCCCAGGGCTTGGTGCATTCTCATTCCCACTGGTCCCTGCCAGGGAAGAAGGAAAGGATAATCACTGGTTTCTCTTCCCACAGAGATGTGATTCCCAGAGGCCACTTGCTTACCGTGGGAAACCTTCATCCCCGAGTCCTGGACTCCCAGAACTAAAACCCTTGTGGCTGTGAGGGAGTTGGAGTTCTCACAGGTCTCTGATTTATTTAGATCCATCTCTGAGACCCCAGGCCACCCAGAGTCATTGCTAGGTTGACTCTCCCATCCACTCCCCTGAGGCTGTGGCAGTACAGAGCTTAGGAACATGGTTAGAGAAGGACAGGGGTGAGTGGGAATCCACTCTGACCGCTCCATGGGAAAAGCAGAGGCAGCCCACCAGTGCCAAGGCTGCTCCATGGGTGGTATCCTCCCTCTCCTGGCACTGCCTACCTGACATCAAAGCTTCACAAAGAGCTTGGGGATCTCAGGCACAGACCTGAGGAAGGAAGATGGCAGGAACATTGGTAGGCATGGTGGAAATGGCTGTAGACATGCAGTCTGGAGGCTTGAGTCAGGTTCCCAGTTCTGCTGCTCCCTCCCATGTGACATGGACATGTCACCCCTACTCCCTGCATCTCAATTCCATCCTCTGGCTAATAGAGGTAATAAAATCTTAACTGCTGTCAAGACCAGATTTAAAAGAAAAAATACTCAGGACCCAGTAAGTGCTCAATAAACACTCACAAAATGAAGCTCAAAGCAACATAATTATAGACTTCTGCATATAAAGATCAATATCCTGTGTCCATAAACGAAGAGACTGGGAGGGCTGGCAGAGTGGCTCAAGAGGTAGGGCACCTGCCTAGCGAACATGAGACCCTGAGTTCAAACCCCAGTGCTGCAAAAAAAAAAAAAAGGAAGAGATTGGGAAATGATCTTCTCGTGGAAAGGGAGATTTCAGTTGGATGCAAAGGAAGATTCTTGGCTGCTAGGATCATTAGCTCTGTAGGAGGCCTTTAGCGGGGTCCCAGCTCTGGGAATATTTAAGGGAAAAGACAGATGAGTATGTCAGGTGGGGGGGATTCACCTGCCTGATTATTTGAGACATTTAGGATTCTTTTACAGCTTTGGGAACTGATGCTTCTCTGAGAACCTCAAAGAATAATCTTAGCGTTGCTATGTCTAGACAGTTTTTAGCTGACAAGTCTCTGGATGGTATTTCCTTGGCTCTCTCTACCTGCTTTTTTGTTTTTAATTATGGTCTGTTCCTTCTGAAAGATAGATGGGCCACAATCTCAAAAGGCCTCTAAGCTATGTGTGTCACTGATAAAGGAAACACTCAGACTTACTCATTGGCTCATGCTATTCCATGGTCTAGGCCTGTGTTTAACACTGGATCGCAGAGGTGAAATTAGGCTCCTTGTCTTCAAAGGGAGGATCCGTGGTGACTGTTTCCCTGTCCAGGGTACCTGCCATTTTACAAAGACACACAAGCTCTCCACAGGAGGAGAGCTCCTTACAAACAAAGGAGTTAAATCCGACTGTAACCTAGTCATTGAGGCAAGGTTCTCCTAGTCACACCAGCCGACACAGCTGGTCCTAAAACTGTCACAAAGTCAGCAACAGAAGCCAGGAGAATCCATACTGTGATACACTGAATTGTGGGGTATTTTCCTGTGAGCATCTTCTCCACCATATGGATCCAAGACTGCATGTAACTCTCTCCTGGTTCCCAGATCACTGCATTAACATGTGTGTGTTGAGTGAACAGATGAGTGGACAGGCCTGGAGAAAGCCCTCAGCTTCCTTGCATGTCCTGTCCAGGACAGGTGGTGTTTGCCCTTGGGACTTCTTCACCTTGAAACATTGCTCTTGGCTCTCCATGAAACTTTTCCTGGCTTTATTATTAACTTTCTTATTTTTTTCTGTGAACGGTTTTGGAACTTTTCCTTGCTGCTCCATAGACATGAAGAACATTCTCTTCACAAAAACCTTGCAGAGTCTAAAAAATGGAAATTAAGCCACTCATTTGAATTCTTTTGTTTATGTAAAAATTCTAATCGCTTTGATTTTTTTTCCTTGCAGGACCCAATTTTTATTCCTTCCATCTTTTTCTTTTTAAGTCTGAACTTGCTCTAGAATGTAGAATGGAAATGTGGTATTATGTTCTTTTGATAATTCCTAACAGGATGTATTCCTTTCTGTCGGAACACTAACATTATTCTGCTTGTAGTTCTGACTACAGGCCTTGGCCCTCTGCAGCCCTGGGACTGGAAAGTCTCTGCTTTCCTTTATGGGAATCAGCCTCAGTTACACTTCAGATCTACTATTTACTTAAATCTGGGTCTCTGTTGTTGAATTGCATCCTCTTTGTAAATTTCAGAATTATCAAGGATACTTTTATACTTGGATCTCATCTTCCAGAGAACAGTCATGTCACCTCAATTATTACTCCTTTCTTCTCTGCTGCTAAAAGAAATAGCCACAGGTTACTTGTGGTCTGTGCAGTAAGCCCATAAATCCACAGATAACTCTGTAGATTTCCATGGCTCCCTCCCCATGACATGGCCACACACCCAGAGGAGGAGCCATAGTGTCTATGTATAGCAGCTGATGACATTGAGAAGGGGCTTGACCTTGCCAGTCACACCCATAGGCAGTAGGAGCAGAATCCCCAATCTCTCCCCTTCCCACCAAATGGTAGACACACGACCTCTAAAGCATAGGCCCTACCCATCGCAAGTACATCCCACTGTCATAGGACAGCCCACTGTCATGGAATCTTCATTTGCAGCATAGGTGTGAAGATAGATTGAAAACCACTTTAGGCCAAGCCTGAGCATCTGCAGGGAGGGGTTGCAGGCCATAAAGACCCTCTTCTCCATTAGAGGTTGTTTTGTTTTTCAGGTGATTTTGCCTGGCTGGGTAGGGGGGTGGTTCTTCAGTGTGAGTTGTGACATTTAAGGTGACTAAAGCAAGCTACATCCATATGCATTTTGCCTAGAACTATTAGAGAAGAGGAAGAGTAAGAAACACATTTATCAAGAGATTGGGAAAAACCAAACAAAGGTCAGCATGCAGCAGAGGGGAGGCTTGTAAAAACAAGAGCACAGAGAGGAGCTCAAGCTCACCTGTGTCCTGGGAAAAAGAAAGGTTTTACAAAGAAAAGGCATCTGCCTCACCGAATTCCCAAGCATTTGGCGAGCTGCTTATAGAGAAGTTATAAATCTCAAACTATAAATTCAGTCATGCAAGAAATGTAACTTTATTGTTTTGAACTGAACTTAAGTTTATATTTTGAGCTGTGTATCTGTAAATAGTGGAAACTGGCCTGACAATGCCTTCCCCCCCAGTCTGACCCAACCATCCCAAGGAACTAGGGTCTTGCTGGTTCCCAGACATACCTGGGTGGCACCATTGGTTCACACAGGCATCTGCAGAGAAGTCCGTTGTTCTGTCTGCTCCATGGCCCTTGTTGCAGGCAGGTCACTCCCTCCCACCTGCAGGATGGCATCAGACCTGCCTCTCCTCTCAGCTCCATCCGTGCTCCTCAGAAGCCTCCTGATGGATTTTTCTGCACTAGTGTTAAGGAGTTCTCTGAGAGATTCTCCTGTCTTTCCACTTATTGTGAAATTAATATGAGTCATCTATAATCTGGGATTCCCTGAATTTATGGAGATTCTGTGTGTGGGCACATATGCCCACATGGCTGTGTTCCTCACAGTGCACACACACCCACACAGAGCGTTTATTCTCAGGAACCTGCCAGTATCTAAACTCTTGTCTCTTCTATTCTAACTGGGGACAGGGAAATAGTGCTGAAGGTTTTGAGGATACTATCTCTTACAGAATGTTCTTTCAAAATTTTTGTTTATGGCAAAAATTGTATGCTCCCAGTCCTCCAAGGTTTTCTGAAACTCAGAAGGCTGTCTCTGCCTTTCCTGTGAATCATCCCTTCCCTGGCTGCAGAGACTGCTGCTGTCTGCATAGAGGGAGAGCAGGGTATACCAGGAGCTGCAAGGCAGATGGATTTACTATCTCAAAGCCAGAAAGGGCCTATGGGTCAGAGGCGCATTTAGTTAGAAGGTTTTAGGAACTCCTGGTTGTAGAGAATCAAGGTGCCAGGTTTATACGCTCTTAATTGCTTAGAGCAGATGTTGTGAGGAACTCAGGGACAGCACATGCTTTGAGATTTGGCACAGGGCACAGGATTGTTGGAGACAGACAGGAAAGGACTCCTCTGATCTGGGACTGACCTTTCTCACCAAGGCAGGTCAGTTTACACGTGCAGATGAACGAGCAGAGCTTGGCTTGCGGTTAGAGACCAGCCAATTCCCTGCAACCTTTTGATTTCTTTATTCGAAGCTGTTGTTGTTTCCTTTGCATAAGCTGCTTTGTGGCTGCAGCTCTCTCATCTGACTCATTTTATAGAGTAGTCCTATAATGGAGGGTATGCACCAGAAGGCCTGAGAAGCCCTTGTGGAAAAACCACGTTCTTGCCTTCCATGTGAGAAGTCATGGATGTGCAGGGTTACTCAGCCTTCCACACTCCTGTTTCAGATGGCTACGAGTTCCTGGAGATCCTCAAACAGGTTGCCAGGGACAACACTGACAACCCTGACCTGAGCATTGTATGGATCGATCCTGACGACTTTCCTCTGGTGAGTAGTGGCTCAGACCAAGACCACATCCGTGGTACATTTGTAACTCCATGTTTCTGTTCAGCATGAGACACTCAAGCACCAAGGAGGAGGTAAGATAGGTCAGGCACTTGAAGAATCCTAGAGGCCATCCCATGTAGCAAGGGTTATCTTGGCTTTGGGGGCAGCATTGAACTTGACCTGGGACAGTCACTAAGTTGATCAGACTTATTACTGTCCTCACTGCCAGGAATTCGAGACTCTTGGAGGTGCTACCCAGGTGAGCTGGCTCCTCCTCCTGCCAGCAGCTCAGTAGCCCCTCCTCCTACAATTGTTCCCTGCTGCTTCTTTCATTTTCTGGGTGTGGACCATCATTCTGTTGCAACCTGAATTACTGAAGAATAAAAACCAGAGATGAATGTTTTGCATAGAGTTAAGAATTTGGTGGAAAGAGAAGCAACCTCTTTGAAGGCAGAGACCATGCCTTTTTTGTTGAGCATGGGCCGTCCAGAGCTTGGCATGGTGTCTAGCACCAGGACTTTACAGCTCAAATTCTAGTCAGTGTCAGTGATCAATGGCTGGAAAGCTTTGTTTATGCTTAGTTTTAAAAGACTGAATAGAATTTGTACAATGCATGGACCCAGAGGCGATCATAACAAATATAGCTAATATCCTCTACTGGAAGTCTGGAACTGTTGTAAATAGTTTACACACATTAAAAGGTCACAAGGAACTGGGGGTATTGTCACAGCTAATACTCCCAGAAGCCCTGTGATGAAATCCCACTACATCGATAAAGAGTGACAGCTGGAGAGATTAAAGCCAATAAGGAGTAATATGGTGTTCCAGCCTACGTCTGTTCTGACGCCAAAGCTTCATTTATGGACTGCTTCTGGTAGAACTCACAGCTGGCAATTAGCACATGTTTGGTTATTATTCAGTTATAAATACAGCTTTATCTTTCAGGAATTGTTATTGGTTGCATAGGTCATGACTGGTGATGAGTAGAGAAAACTGAGGGGTGTTAGTAATCAAGGGTCCTGATACCGAATCCTACGCAGACAATCGGTGAATCAAAGGCAGAGACTCAAGGCCAGTGTCATAGTTCGGGGTAATTATAGGAAAGTCATGGCTATGTAAGACTGCACAGAGGACAGCAGCATTGTTTATTTAGATTCTACTGGTTGTATTTCTAGTTTATCTATGCTGTTTTTGTAAGTAAACATGCAAGTAAGTGCTCTGTAGTTTTCTTGGCCAGTCTATGTGTTTGCCTTGGTTTTTTGCAAAGAAGTAATCCTCAGGTAATTTTAACTTCCAGATTCCAGGACATCTCAGTCTCTCTCAGGCCCCATATTTGCCTGGGTGACTTTCTACTACTGTATATGTCTGTTTTCTTAGTCTGGGGCCTCTTGGCTTTTTACTCCTAACCCAGTCAGAGATTTGTCCATACAGAGCCCAAGGCTGGCTGAATGAAGACACCTTCCAGACACCTTCCTTGTATTTATTTCTTATGCCAACTTAGGACATGTCACTGCTTTTCCAGACATCTGTGACATGAGTCACAGAATGGCACAAGATAAGAGATTTTTAAAATGGGACTTTGAAAGAGAAGAGAGAAATGGGCCCTTCACACTCATAAACTATGAAAGAACTGTAGTATTTGGGGGACTGACATTGAACCATCTCTGTGATATTCTTCCTTACAGCTGTAGAAGGTTTTATATTATATGTTTTCATAGTTAGTACTATGACATCTTTTATTTAATGCTTACTAAAGTGCTTGAGGGCTGGGCTGAGTCTTCAATTTCCTATGTGCCCACAGCTGTTTTGAAGACTTTTAACCAAAGATGATGACCTAGTTACTGTGGTAAGAAGATAGTAGGTTGAGTTCAGGTACCAAAAGTGGCTTGACCAAGGACTGTCTTCTGCCTGCTGTCTAATTGGACTTTTTGTCACTACAGCTCACTGCTTACTGGGAGAAGACTTTCAAGATTGATCTGTTCAAGCCACAGATCGGGGTGGTAAATGTGACAGATGTGAGTATCCCCTTTCTCAGGAGCCCTTAGCTGCCCTGTTTGGTGCTGTGCAGTCTAGTCTGTGGGGCCATCTTTAGGAATTCAGTTCCTTCAGAAGTTAGCAGAAACTTTGGCCCTGCCCAAGCTCAGGAAGCTTGCCAGTGTTATGATTCCAGAGCTTTCTTCCATTTGGCCATTTCTTTGCTTATGGGGCCAGTCTGATTTGACTCACTGATCTAGAACTTTCTAGGAAATTCTACTGTACCCACCACCCAAAGCCAAACAACAAGGTCTCTTTATAGGGAACTCTCACTAGGAGCTGTCAGTGCACAATGGGAGATGTGGCAGCTGTAGCTCTGAAGGCCATGCAAGCAAACACCCCCAACACATACATACAGTCAGGAGCCCAGACCAACCAAAGGGGATTCTCCTGCCTATTCAGGCACTGTTGATAGTTCGGGGCTGCACTTAGACCACAGTCCTCCTACCTAAGTCTTCCTCATAGCTGGGATGACAGGCATGTACCACCACAACTGGGCTTACTGATTGAAATGGGGTCTTGGTAACTTTTTGCCTGGGCTGGCCTTGAACCATGATCTTCCTGATTTCTACCTCCTGAATAGTTGGGACTACAGCTGTGAGCCACCACAGTGGGCTGTACTTTTGTAAGCTGCTTTGAAAATTATCACTACTAAGAATTTTTAAAATATGCTAAAGTGAAAAAACCATTTAAAAATAGAATAACAAGTAGAAGGGAGAAGTTTTTCCCACTGCCCTGGTCCCATCTTTAGTTCTATTCCCTAAGGAATCATTGCATGAATATCCTGCTGGAAATTTCACACATGCACATATGCATATGTATATACATATATATATATATATAAATAAATATGTATATACACACACATTCCTTTGGGTGACAGGATACACAACTCCTTGTATGTCACACTAAAGGACACCATTTTGCAACTTGGCATTTCCATTTTAGCACTAATGCACTTCCTATAGGTGTGGGAGGGCTTAGGCCCCCTCACTCAACTGTAGCTACTACATGAACCCTTTGGATTCTGGCTTAGCCTCCAGGCTCACTTATTCCTTTCCTCACGGCAGGCTGACAGTGTCTGGATGGACATTCCAGATGATGACGACCTGCCCACAGCCGAGGAGCTGGAAGACTGGATTGAGGATGTGCTTTCTGGAAAGATCAACACTGAAGATGATGACAATGAAGATGAAGATGATGATAATTATAACGACGACGATGACAATAACTCTGATGAGGAGAGTAATGATGACAGTGATGATGATGATGATGAATAGCTCTGTATGCAAATGATTCTGATGGAGGGCTGGTGGTGGGGCTCAAGTGGTAGAGTGCCTGCCTAGCAAGTGCAAGGCCCTGAGTTCAAACCCCAGTACTGCCAAATGATTCTGTTGGAAACAAAATGACAGCTACCCACTACCACACAGACAGCCTAAGGTGACAGCAAGCAACCCTGCCCACACCTAGCCAGCTCCTTTCCTTTTCCAGCACCTCTTCCCACTCTGTTCTCATCAGGAGCAGTACAATTCAGCAGATGCCTTTCTAAGTCCAGCAATCCCACTCAGCAGGGACAGGAGGGGAATGTTCCATGTTGACTTGTGTTGACTGTCATGGAACAGTTCTTGTTCTTTGTTAACAGTCAGGGGTTGTGGCAGAGCTGGCATCAAGCAGTCTGGGGACAGTCATCCCCTAAGACCTCTACTCAAGTTTACCTGTTGTCTTTGACTACGACAGTAACAGAATGGACACCTTGCTAATTCACAGTACAGAGTAACTTTTCCTCCCGTTAATCAATTCGACCCCCATACCTAGAACTCAGACCCAGGGCTTCAGATGATTATTGAGAGGCCTTGTAACGTGTGTAGGTGTCATTGTCATGTCTAACATATTAGAATACTAGGGTAAGAGGGTGATTTGTTCTGTGAACTTCTTGCTAGGTGACAAGTCTCACATATCCACCAGCAGTGGGGCAGAGAGGGGAGACTGAAGGACTACAGGTTTTTAGTTTTTCTGACAGAACGGGTTCCTGTCTCTGAACGGGTCAGCTGGCCTCCTGGCCTGAGCTGGGAACTGAATAGCCCTTCTCTGTCGCTGCTAGTGAGTGTTCAGTTTTGAATTAAAGGTTGCTTTATCTAGTGGTCAATTAACTCTCCATTTATCAGAATGTCCACAGTTGACCAGGGCAACAATAATTAGAACTCATAATGATGCCCTGAGGCACTGAAAAAAACTCCTAAGTGCCTTTCAAGCTGTCTGAAAGTTACATTGTGCTTTGTAGTTTCAGTATTAAAGTGATCTAATTTATTTTCTCAATCTGTTAACACATATAAGACACTGCAATTTTTTTTGGAAATTAGGACAATATTTTGTGGAATAATAGCTAACTAACTGTCATTAAACTCATTTTTTTAAAATGTTGAGACTATCTTGAAAATCCTCTCCTGGTTTTTTTTTTAATCTCGTTGCATCTGGCTGTGGTCCTCCTCTCATTCTGAAGGGTTTCCTTTCAAGCCTCTCTTCCTCTGCTTATCATCTAACATTGGTATTTCACCAGTGTCTCCAAACTGTGTATACTCTTCCAAGACAATCTCATCTACACCTGTTAACTACCACCTGTATGCCAGTGACCTCCAAATAATGGGTCTCTAACCTTGACCTCTTCTTGCCTTAGTTTTAGACCCACTCATTCCGCTGCCTCTGCACTCCTTGACTTGGATGCTATATAAGCACCCCAAACTCAGCCCAACAAAACCTGAACTCATTGCCTTTCCCTCTAAACTTCTCTGGTTTGGATGTGTGACGTTATTATCTACACAACTGTCTAGGTGACCTGATATTGCCTCATTCCCCTCCACTTCCATGGCACTTCATGCACACTGGGTCATGACACTTGCCATTTAATTATAGCACATATTTGCATATCTGTCCTTTCACTGAATTGTAGCAATTTAGAGGCAAGAACTTTACTTGCCTTTGTATCCCCAGTACTTAAATAATTTGCCCATCACAAAGTAGACATTTATTGAGTTGACACGTGAACGATTGATTACATCCAACTGCTATCATTCCTCAATGCTGTTGAATAGAACTTACAGGATATATTAGGCTTGCTTGGCCTGTGTGTTAGTCAGCTTGCCATATCTGTGACAAAATTCCTGAGAAAAATAACTTAAAGGAGGAAAGATTTATTCTGGATCACAGTCTCAGAGGTTTCAGCTCAAAGTCAGCTGGCTCCATCGTTTTGGGGCCTGAAAGAGGCAGAGCATCATGGCGGCAATAGCAGGCAGTAGAGGAGGCTGCTCACCTATGGCAGCCAGGAAGCAAAGATAGAAAAAGGAACCAAGGTCCTTAAGTCCCCTTAAAGAACACTCCCCTGCTGACCTACTTCCTCCTACTAGGAGTCCCCACCTTCTAATAGCACATTCAGCTATGAGCTCATTAATAATTAATCCAGTGATGACGTTAGTACTTTCATGATCCAAGCACCTCTGGAATTCCCACCTCCAAACTCTGCTGCCTTGGGAATTGAGTATTCCCTACAAGAGTCTTTGGGTGACACTTCATATCCACACCATACAGGCTGACATGACAGAATAGCACAGTTTCAGTGGCTTAAGCAACAGAAACTTGTTTTCTCACAGTTCTAGAGGCTAGAAATCCAAGATCAAATTGCCAGCTGGATTGGTTCCTGGTGAGGGTATTTCCTGGTTTCTCACTATGTCCACACATGGCCTTTGTTTAGGGGAGAGGGAGGGTCAGAGATTGATTGAGAAAGAGAGCACATGCAAGCTCTAGTGTCTCCTCTTCTTATAAGGACACCTGTCCTATCAGATTAGGGCCCCACCCCTATGACTTCATTTAACGTAATTACTGCCTTAAAGGCCCTGTGTCCCAACACTGTCAGGCTGGGGATTGAGGCTTCAACATGAATTTGGGGGTACACAATTTAGTCCCTAACACAGGGCCTGCAAATTTATTTCTCCCCTGGCAAAACCAAGCAGGTGCTTCCCAGGCTGGGTCACACCTCAAATAAGCCATGAAGTGTAGTCTGTCATGACATAGGTCTATTTCCCAACTTGGGAAAATTCCCTTGTTCTCAGGGAGCAATTTCCTGAGAAATACGTGTTAAGTTAAAATCATATTATGATGCCTCTTTGTTAGAATCCCTGAAAGTCAGGCTGGTTTTACCTGCAAGTACCAGAGTTGTTAGCTGTTAGTCTAAACATTTTAAGCTGATATTTGTTGGGCATCCATTATATGTCTGGAGCAATATGCTAAGTGTCTTTCATATATTGCCTCACTTAATCTTCACAAAGGATTATGAGATGTGTCTTGTTATGGTCCACATTTTACAGAGGAAACTGAGTGGAGCCAAGAAGTTTCACATAATTTTCTCAAGATCTCTCAAGCACTCTGAGGTAGTATAACTTCATTTTTAATACTTACAATGACTTAAATTAAGGATCAAAGGATTACAACTTTTTTCTCAGATAATATCCAAAGATGGACTTAAATGAATATCCCATAATCTTTTTTTATTGCACGAACCCAAAGCCCTTTCTCCTTCCATTCTTAGGCCATAATCAACTTAAACAATCTTGGAAATGTGGGCATTAGAAGAGCAAGATTTGGCCATCTTGTTAGATAAAGGAAGGTGGGTAGGATCCATTGTGTTATCCTGAACACCCAATCATTTTCAATGTATTTCTGTTAAACATCATTCCAGAACTTGAAATGAGCTTGTCTTTTCTGTAAAAAGGTTGTGTACCATTCAGGTCCTTGTTTGTATCACCCAGGAAACCCTTCCTGTTACTAATAACTCCAGTCATAGGTCATTATCAAATGACTTCTGATTGATAGCCCTTCATAACCCAGACACAGAAATTCCTCTTAAATGCTGGTCCCTGAGACTCTGTTTGAAAACTTAACATTTTCAACAGGGTTTCTCAGCCCTACTTAGAAGCATCAGGATTATTACTCTCAAGTTTATTTTAGAAAGCACAGACACCATGTTATCACCAGTTACTGATAACACTATCTGAGTCAAGTCTGGGGACTGACACAAGCCAGAGTTGGGGACCACTGCCCTTCCCAGTCCCTCCAGTTAGATCATCCAGCCTGTGGCATCCTCACTATCTCTCTCTAGCCCAGCTTCTCCTGAGCTGACCCCTCTTTTCACTGGCCTCTGGCCAGCTCCCTTGTATGTCCCCATAGTCTCTCCCTCCCACATCTAATGGGAGTAAGACCTGCTGTCTTCTCTTCCCTCACCATTACTATGTTGATTGAGGCTTCTCCGGTCTCTTGTATGGGTCCAGTAAGTTCAGGCAAGTGATCTTGCCAAAATAAAATTATGTCATATGTATGCTTAAAAATCTTCAATGGCTCTATTCCTGATAGATATTTTTTTTTAAATCTGTGTTTCTTGTTTAGGCTAAGAGTGAGCTATGAATGGCAATGTTTGTGACTGCAAAATGTAGAGTCTGAGCTGAGGGGTATGAGGTTGGGAGGAGAAATGTGTCTGTCTTATAAAGCAAAAAGTCCTTCAGGTGTCTCTCCTCCACATAAGAAAGCAAAGTCTGATCCTTGCACTATCTGGGTTCGTGGATTAGTTAAGCACTGGACTCACTGTGTATATGGAACACCCATGTAATGCCCGTGGCACCCAGATGTTTCATTTAGGATTATGGCACCCAGGAATCATTTAGCAGAAGTTGAGTCAGCACCACTGGCCGCAAGGTTGGGGTTAGGTCTAGTTTTGTCGTGGAGCAAAAGTTAATTTCCTTTGCAAGATACTCAAGGTCTATGTGAGTTGCCTCTTTCTATCTTTCCAGCCTCATCTCTCATGACGCCTCCCAACTGTCTGGCCCTCTGATCTTAGAACCTGAATTTGGTAGAAGGAAGCTGCCTAAAACACCTGCAAGCCTTGGCTCTTCACTGCACATTCCCAGCTACCTTAAGTGTTACCTATTCTATGGATGCTTTCCAGTCATGCCTCAGGCAAGTTGACCACCTCCTCTGATGGTCTCTTACTGAATCCTGTGCAGACTTCTCTCTCCTTTTTTGTTTGCTTGTTTGTGAGATAGAGTCTTTAAATGTAGCCTAGGCTGGCGTCCTGTCCCAGTCTCTAAAGTGCCTATGCAGACTTCTCTTATGGAACCTACTCTTCTTTTTCATTTATTTTTAAAAAATATTTTAATTAGTATATCATAGTTGTACAAGGCATTTCATTATGACATATCCATATACGTGTACAATGTACCCATTTGGTTCATCCCCTCCATTATTCTCCTTCTCCCTTCTCCCCCTTCTTAAAATGACTTCAGTAGGTTTTGATGTTTTATATTCATACATGTATAGAAAATACATATGCCATATTCCTTTACCCTCTTTATTTACCTCCCCTCCCATTAATATCCTCCCCTTAACATGGCCTGTTTTACATTCCTGCCCTTCATTGTTTAAGTGTGTTCATTGTTCAATGAAGTTTTCTCTTGGAGTTTACCTGTAAAGATATTGTACTTAGTCTAACCCCTCCACTACTCTTCCTGACCCTTTTCCCTACCTTGTATTGTTCAACAGTTGTCAGTGCATTTCTTTGCATCTTGTTCCTACACAGATGTGATGTATTTCACTATACCTCTATCATTCTCTTCTTCTTTCCCTCCTCCCCCAGTCTCCTCCAACAGTCGTACTATTGGAAACATATTATAAATGTATGATATTGCTTCTATTTCTATTTGGATCTGTTTTTCACATATGAGAAAAAAACATCAACCTTTGTCTTTCTGAACCTGGTTTACTTTGCTTAACATGATCTCTAGTTCCTTCCATTTGCCTGCAAATGACATGATTTCATTCTTCTTTGTGGCTAAATAACTCCACTATGTATAAATACCACATTTTCTTAATCCATTCATCAGTTGTGGGGCATCTGGGCTATTTCCACAGCTTGGCTATTGTGAATGATCCTGCAATAAACATGGATGTGCTGGTGTCTTTATTGTGTCCTGACTTACATTCCTTCAGGTATATTCCTAGGAGTGGGATTGCTGGATCCTACAATAGATCTATTTTTAGTTTTTTAAGGAGCCTCCATACTGTTTTCCATACTGGTTGTATTAATTTACATTCCCACCAACAGTGTATGAAGTTTCTTTTTCCCCACATCCTCGCCATCATTTGTTGTTTGTGTTTTTGATAGTAGCCACTCTAACAGGAGTGAGGAGGAATTTAATATAGTTTTGATTTGAATTTCCTTTATGGGCAGGGATGAGAGCATTTCTTTTTTTTTTCTTTTATTATTCATATGTGCATACAAGGCTTGGGTCATTTCTCCCCCCTG